TTTGATCGAAATGTATTTCATAACTATCAATTATGTAATTATGTAATTGCATTTACATGATAATATAATGTAAACTGGCTGTATAGTGAAAAACAGTAATAACTGCAACAGGACACGAGTGTGTGTGTGTGTGTGTGTGTGTGTGTGTGTGTGTGTGTGTGTGTGTGTATTTCTGCAGACTGTGACTCACTGGCTTCAGTGTCTGAACCCACGCACACTTCCAGCGCGTGTGTGTGTAGATGTGCAAGTCTTTTTTTGGCTTTGTGTGTCTGGAAGTACATATGTGTGTTTTGTCATGGGTGTCCATATATTTGATTGTGTGTGGATGATATTTATGTGTGTGTGTGTGTGTGTGTGTGTATATTATCATTACATATAGATACAGCTATACGGTTCTGGGTAACGGTCAGAATGCAGAGATCCCCTTCATTTATTTAATGTCCACTCAAAGCAGCCTTTAAGTGCAAGTTATGAATATTATACATTTTTTAGGAGATGTTTATTGTGAGGCTCTGGATGGATCAGACAGTTGCAGAGTAGACTGTTGGTTAAAGGTAGAATCCAAAAACAGGCTAAAGTCAAACACAGGCAAACGGGTATATGGGGGCGAGACATTGACAAGGTCAAAAGGCAGGTAGAGGGTCTGAACACGAACGTTGCAAAGTCCAAAGGGGTCAGGCAAAAAGACATAAACGAGAAACCAAAGCAAAATCACAAACCAGGAAATGGACACAGACAGAAGGCTTGGTAATGAACATCAGGCTGATACAGTACTTCACTAAGCACCCAACTAAAAGCCTGGCCTTTATACTAACTCAAGCACATGACAAGGAATACAGGTGTAAACAATCAATAATCGGGGGAGGCTGAACGTGGATAAGATGGCTGTAAGAAGTCCGGAGTCATATGACCTCCCAGAGGATTCTGGGAGTTGGAGTCTGCAACGGAGTAAGGAGTAGTGGTTTCCGTGGGGCCGGGAGGATAATCCACCTGTACGCTGAAGGAGAAAGTTAAAGCTATGAAAGGTAAAAAAGGCTCAGGAGAGGTGGAATCTGCACTTTAACCCTAGTTACATTGAGGCCTAAGACTTCACTCATTTTGCTTTCCATTGTTTCAGTGCTGCACACGCCCATGACTGGAATTTTTCAGGGGAACATGAATTTGAAGAGGAACTGAATCATATTTTTCGAGATGTGCCCTCAGGCTGTTAGTGCTGGAATGCTACGCTTACAGTAGCCGACAAAGCTCGCATACAACTTTATCCCCAGGTTGCACCGTTTTGCTGCCTGCTCTCTCTGTGCCCGAGAAGGGGTTGTGAACTCTTTGCCATCATCACCACATGGTTGTTGTTGAATTATTTGCTCGTTTCAGCTGCATCTACATTTCATTTTAAACCATGAGTGCTGTTGTGTGACTCCTGTCCATTCAGTGCGGTCAATGCAGCGGCCCAGGCCCACGGCAGAACCTTTTCGTTTGTCGTGAAATGACAAGGGAAGAGGCCACACCTGGCCATGAAACTGCTTATCAGTCCACTGTCCAATTACTTTTGAAAATGAAGGGACTGAGTCTTCACTTCAGTCACATCTGCTTCATTTCAGATCCGTTGTGGTGTAAAGAGGAAAAATTATGAAAATTGAGTCACTGTCCAAATACGTACTTGAACCTGATTGTATGTTTTCCACTAAGGCTAAAAGCTGAATAATTGATCTTTTGCCTATTTTGACAGGAAATGAATTAAATCAAGGGTGGTCTCTAACTTATACACAGTGCTGTAGGTACATATAAATAACACTTCTGGGACATATTATTATTACATACAGATACTAATGCTTGTATATTACACGTGGGACATAACGTACATCCTGATATTGTATCAGAACAAGGCTGTGTGTGACTGTTGGTATTTTACGGCTCAGTTACAGGCTCCACTCTGACAGCTCGTCATTACGTCTCTTAAGCGGATACCGAGAGGGGCTGCCATGGCAACCGACCCTAAAACCCATCGGATGCTCCACGAGGCGCTCAGGTCCTCTCAATCATCTCACAGACACACATATGGTCATAAAAGGCCTTTTAGCCTGATCACCAGAAGAGAGCTCTTAGACACTTAACGCAGCTCGAGTGGAGAAAAAAAAAGAAACAGTGAGTGGGTGGCTTCTCTGACCAGACGCTCAGTCCGAACTCAAAGCGCGAGAGGAAATCCATCAATAAAACATCGATTCGGTCTGGGAGCAGAATAAAGGGTCCGATACTGACCTCAACTAATCAAGACTGTGATGTCACTTCTATCAACATCCTTATTTCTCACTTTTCCAGCACTCCTCAGGTTCTCCTTCAGAAGGCACATCTGTAATCAGTTCATTAGAGGAAAAAGCCCCCAAGAACCCCACTGGGACTTTTATTGTGAAAATTAGAGCGTTTCCACTCAGCGAGCACTTTATCAGGAACGCTACACTAATGCTGGGTAGAGACAAAACAGCCTTAGTTCTTCACGGCATGGATTCTACAAGATGCTAGATTCTTTGAGATTCTGGTCCATGTTGATGTGATCATGTGGTTCCTGCAGATTTTTCAGTGCTGTGACTCTCCTGTTCTACCTCATCCCAAAGGAGTTCTACTGGATTCAGACCTGGTGGCTGGGAAGACCACTGAAGAACACTGAACTCATTGTCATGTTCAAGATTCAAGATACTTCATTGTTAATGCACAGTAAAATTAAATTGGGCACCAATGCTAACAGTGCATTAATAAAAACAAGATTAAAATAGGAATAAAACAAAAATAAGCTAATACAAAATGTAAGATATTACAGGAATGACTAGATAATTTAAAATGATAAAAAGTCAAATAAAAAATAGAATTATAAAATAATTCAAAATAAAAATATAAAAAGTAAAATAGAAAAGGTGGATATAAAAGAATGTAGCAGCTATGGTGTTGCACATGGGGGTAGTGCATGGTAGTGTCTAATTACAAGTAGTGCTGTTTAATAAATAATTATAAAGTGAATGTTAACATCTTTTAATATCCCTTAAATATGTTTTGGGAAGGTTTGGATAGACACTCTGTTCCTGAAACAGCTTGAGCTACTTCTGCTTTGTGTCATGGTGCATCATCATGCTGGAAGTGGCCATTAGAAGATGGTAAAATGTGGTCATGAAGGGATGAACTTGGTCTACACACTGTATATTAGTGTGTAGTCAGTCTGTATCAGTGTGTATGAGTGTGTATGAGTGTGTATCTGTGGGTGTATATTAGTGTGTAGTCTGTGTATCAGTGTGAATCAGTGTGTATGAGTGTGTATGTATTTGAGTATAGTCTGTGTGTGTGTCAGTGTGTATGAGTGTGTATCAGTGTGTATGAGTGTGTATCTGTGTGTATGAGTGTCTATCTGTGTGTGTGAGTGTGCATCTGTAGAGGGTATATTAGTGTGTAGTCTGTGTGTATCAGTGTGAATCAGTGTGTATGAGTGTGTATTAGTGTGTGTGAGTGTGTATCAGTATGTATGTATTTGAGTATAGTCTGTGTGTGTCAGTGTGTATGTGAGTATCTGTGTGTGTCAGTGTGTATGAGTGTCTATCTCTGTGTGTGAGTGTGTATCTGTAGGGGGTATATTAGTGTGTAGTCTGTGTGTGTCAGTGTGTATGAGTGTGTATCTGTAGGGGGTATATTAGTGTGTAGTCTGTGTGTATAAGGTTGTATCAGTGTGTATGTGTGTATGTATTTGAGTATAGTCTGTGTGTATCAGTGTGTATGTATTTAAGTATAGTCTATGTGTACCAGTGTGTATGAGTGTGTATGTATTTGAGTATAGTCTAGTGTGTATGAGTGTGTATGTATTTAGAGTATAGTCTGTGTGTATCAGTGTGTATGAGTGTGTATGTATTTGAGTATAGTCTGTGTGTATCAGTGTGTATGAGTGTGTATGTATTTGAGTATAGTCTGTGTGTATGAGTGTGTATGTATTTGAGTATAGTCTGTGTGTATCAGTGTGTATGAGTGTGTATGTATTTGAGTATAATCTGTGTGTATCAGTGTGTTTGAGTGGGTATGTATTTGAGTATAGTCTGTGTATCAGGGTTTATGAGTGTGTGTCTGTGTATGTATTTGAGTATAGTCTGTGTATCAGTGTTTATGAGTGTGTGTCTGTGTGTATGTATTTGAGTATAGTATGTGTGTGTCACTGTGTATGAGTGTGTATGAGTTTGTATTAGTGTGTAGTCTGTGTGTGTGTGTGTATGCATCAGTGTGTGCGTCTGTGTATTAGTGTGAGTTTGTGTGTGTGTATTAGTGTCAGTTTGTGAGTGTGTGTATCTGTGTGTGTGTATCAGTGTGTGTTTATTAGTGTGAGTTTGTGTTTGTGTGTGTGTATTAGTGTGAGTTTGTGTGTGTGTGTGTATTAGTGTGAGTTTGTGTGTGTGTGTATCTTTGTCTTTGTGTGTGCATGTGTGTGTATCTGTGTGTGTGGGTGTATTTGTGTGTGTGTGCGTGTTTGTGTTTGTGTGTGTGTGTGCGATGCTGAAAGCCTGGCTGCATTTTGTTTTTAATGGTTTTTAATCCAGTGATTGTTAATCCGAACCCTCTGAATCTCTAAACCACTAAAAACTCTCTCTCTATCACACACACACACACACACTCAGGGGTTCTGAGGGGTTTACTCAACGTCAAATCATTGACTCTTACGTGTCATATTTATATCTGTATATGTAATAATTATTTGAATCATATGTTTTACAGAAGCATCTACAGATAATAAGATTTAGTTTTTATTATATATGTATATATTTATAAACACTGAGCTTGAAGACTGGGCATATGACGTCACAACGGAGGGAGCGAACAGAGAGAGAGAGAAAGAGAAAGAGAGAGACAGAGGGAGAGAGAATATGGAGTGAGAGAGAGAGAGAAAGAGACAGAGATACAGTGAGAAAGAAAGAGAGATACAGAGAAAGAGAGAGAGAGAGAGAGAGAGAGAGAAAGGGAGTGAGAATGTGGAGGGAGCGGTACAGCAGGATTCAGGTTCCTGTGGTTGCCATGGTGAAGAGCGGACTGCTGGCCGTGGTGGCGGCGCCTGCGGAGCCTCGTTAGCGGAGCGTGTGAGGTAGGAGCTCCCACTCTCTCAGATTAATGAGGATTATGATGATGGATTTGATGCAGAATCTGGCAGACAGACTTTAACATAAGTGCCTCGGCCTGCGCCGCACCGCCTCACCATGCTGGACCCCTTACTGGTGGACCTGTTTACTGATCAAAGTTCACTGGAGCTCCCGCAGTAACGGAGCACCTGCAGGGCTGAGCTCTCCTACAGCTGCATTTCCTGTTCTTCCCTAAAGGCAGAGACGCTGTGGATGTTATTATCTGTACAGAGATTAATGATTGTTATAGAGATTAACGTTCAGTGTTCAGATTAGCGGTTCAGGTTGTGGTTCTGGTTCAGTTTCAGCGCCATGGACAGATCCCACTCATTCCTCCACTCTACAGCGTAAGTGACACTGAGACAAAGTCCGGTTCTGGTGGTCTGAGGTCCAGAGGAGAGTCTGATGTGTTGAGAGTGAGAATTGAAGCTGAAGCTGTTCTGAAGTTCCGAGTGTTCTGACCTGTTCAGGTTGTGAGTGAAGCTCTTTTTTCTCAGCGTGTTCGTGTGTTTCGTTCAATCCTCTTTCCTCCCCACATGCATGTGTTATTTTTGGAATTAATGTGTGAGGAAAAGTCGGACCACCGCAGCAGACGGGAAGAGAACAGGAGCTAAAGCAATCGCTCTGAGAGTCGCCGCTCACTGTGAGTGTGATGGAAAAGCAGCGGTGGATTCAGATACGCTTTCATATTTATTTGAGTGCCAGATTGAAACGTTACCTCTCAGAGCCTCATTTAAATCTGCTTATGGATCAAAAAGAGATAAATGGATAGATGGATGGATGGATGGGAGGATGAATGAATGGATGCAGAGATAGATAAAAGCACAAATGATGGAATGGAAGAATGAATGGATCAGTTGAGGAGTGGATGTATAGAGAGATGGATGGCTGGATGGACAGAGGAATGGATGGGTGGGGGATGAAAGTATGGATGGGTGCTTGGATGGGTGATTTGAACAGGAATGGAAGGATGAAGGAAACAGCAATTGATGATGGGGATAGATGAGGCATAATTGGATGAATGGATGGATGGATGGATGAAAGAATGAATGGATCAATTGAGGGATGGATGTATGGAGAGATGTATGGCTGGATGACAGAGGAATGGATGTAGGGAGAGATGAAGGCATAAATGGATGCATGAGGAGATGGATGGATGGATGGATGGAACAATAGAAGAATGGATGAAGAAACAGGAGTTGATGATGGAGATGGATGGATGGATGATTGAAAGAATAAATGGATGGATGGATGAGTGGTTGGAGGCTTGGATGGGTGAAGAGTGATAGAGGGGTTGATTTATGGAGAGACGGATGGTGGGATGGACAGAGGAATGGATGTAGGAAAAGATTAAGGAATGAATTGATGGATAGAGGAAGGGATGTATAGAGGAATGAATGGATGACGATCCTGCTTCTCAGCATTGTGGAAAAGGGTAACACTGGCTCAGCCAATCATATTAGACCTCGTAAGCTGTAGCCAATCATAGCAGAGCTCTCATTTTACCCACTCTACTGAAGCTGTGACAGAATTTTAGCTAAACGCGTAGTTAAAGTTTAAGCTTTACTCAGAATCTGTAATATACAGAGTGGATCAGTCAGTAGTTCTGTGCTGGATCTGTGTAAACTGTGGTCAGTATAACTGGTCATCACATTTTCAGCCTGTTGTATGTTAGCTAGCCAGCTAAGCTCACATGCTAAATGATCATTCGCTGAAGAGCCAATTATTATTGGAATGTGTTTGTTTTCCTATTTTATTAAGTATTTAAGAACAATCACACCCCTGTAACTACATTTCTTTTTCGATGTAATATGAATAATTGTTATGGCTGATGCAGTTGTTGTGTTTACTGTGACAGAGTTTTATATCCTTCACTCCTGAATCTGTAGACGGTCATTAGAAGGGTCAGCTATGTAGAGGGTCAGATCTGTAGAAGGACGGTCGGGTGAGATTTTTGCCAGTTAAAAAAAAAAAATGTTACTCAACACAGTTTGAATGAGATCATGCTGAATATGATCTGAACATGATCACGCTGAAAACGATCGCGCTGTACACGATCGCACTGAAGACGATCTGAACAGGATCATGCTGAACACAATCACACTGAAAACAATCTGAATACGATCTGAAACAGGATCACACTGAACATGATCTGAACACGATCACACTGAACACGATCACTCTGAACACAATCTGAACAAGATCACACTGAACATGATCTGAACACGATCACACTGAACATGATCTGAACACGATTACACTGAACACGATCATGCTGAACACGATCTGAACACAATCACTCCGAACATGATCTGAACACGATCACACTGAACACAATCACACTGAAAACAATCTGAACACGATCACACTGAACAAGATCTGAACGCGATCATGCTGAACGCGATCACGCTGAACATGATCTGAACACAATCACGCTGAACATGAACTGTACACGATCACACTGAACACAATCTGAACACGATCACACTGAACGCATTCTGAAAACGATCACGCTGAAGACGATCTGAACATGTTCACGCTGAACACGATCTGAAAATTATCACGCTAAACATGATCTGAATAGGATGACGCAGAACACGATCTGTACGTGATCACACCGAACACGATCTGAACACGATCACACTTAACACGATCTGAAAAGGATCACACTAAACACGATCACACTGAACACAATCTGAACAGCATCACGCTGAACACGATCTGAACACTATCTAAACAGGATCACACTGAACACGATCTGAACGTGATCACGCTGAACACGATCTGAACATGATCCCTCTGAACACGGCACTGAAACACTGATCACACTGAACATGATCTGAACACAATCACGCTGAACATGATCTGAAAGCGATCACGCTGAACATGATCTGAACATGATCACATTGAACATGATCTGAACAAGATCTGAACAGTATCACGCTGAACACAAACTGAACATGATCACGGTGAACACAATCACACTGAACACGATCTGAACGTGATCACGCTGAACACAATCTGAACACGATCACACTGAATACGATTTGAACATGATCACGCTAAACATGATCTGAACACGGTTACACTGAACACGATGACGCTGAACATGATCTGAACACAATCGCGCTGAACACGATCACACTGACAACAATCTGAACAGAATCACGCTGAACACAGTCACACTGAAAACAATCTGAGCGCGATCACGCTGAACATGATCACGCTGAACACGATCACGCTGAACACGATCACGCTGAACACGATCATGCTGAACATGATCTGAACATGATCACGTTGAACATGATCTGAACACAATCTGAACAGTATCACACTGAACACAATCTGAACACGATCACACTGAAGACGATCTGAACATGTTCACGCTGAACAAAATCATGCTAACACGATCTGAAAATGATCACGCTAAACATGATCTGAACAGGATGACGCAGAACACGATCTGTACGCGATCACGCTGAACACAATCTGAACGTGATCACACCGAACACGATCTGAACACGATCACACTTAACACGATCTGAAAAGGATCACACTAAACACGATCACACTGAACACAATCTGAACAGCATCATGCTGAACACGATCTGAACGTGACCATGCTGAACATGGTCTGAAAAGGATCATGCTGAACATGATCACGCTGAAAACAATCTGAACATGATCATGCTGAACACGATCTGAACAGGATCACACTGAACACGATCTGAACACAATCATGCTGAACACGATCTGAACACAATCACACTGAAAATGATCTAAACAGGATCACGCTGAACACGATCTGAACACGATCACACTGAACGTGATCTGAACTGAATCATGCTGAACAGGATCTGAACACAATCATGCTGAACACGATCTGAACAGGATCACGCTGAACGCGATCTGAACACAATCACGCTGAACATGATCTGAACAGGATCACGCTGAACACGATCTGAACACAATCACGCTGAACATGATCCGAACACAATCACACTGAACACGATCTGAAAAGGATCATGCTGAAAATGATCTGAACACGATCACACTGAACACTATCTGAACAGGATCACGCTGAGCACGATCTGAAAACGATCACGCTGAACATGATCTGAATACAATCACACTGACCACAATCTGAATGCGATCACGCTGAACATGATCACACTGAACACGATCTGAAAACATTCACACTGAAGACGATCTGAAAACAATCACCCTAAACATGATCTGAACAGGATGACACAGAACATGATCTGAACAGGACAATGCTAAACACGAACTGAACAAGATCACGCTGAACACAATCTGAACACGATCACGCTGAACATGATCTGAACACAATCACGCTGAAAACGATCTGAAAACGATCACGCTGAACACAATCTGAACACAATCACGCTGAACACAATCACACTGAACACGATCTGAACGCGATCACGCTGAACACAATCTGAACACGATCACACTGAATACGATTTGAACATGATCACGCTAAACATGATCTGAACACGGTTACACTGAACACGATGACGCTGAACATGATCTGAACACAATCACGCTGAACACGATTGCACTGAACATGATCTGAACACAATCACGCTGAACACAGTCACACTGAAAACAATCTGAACGCGATCACGCTGAACAAGATCACGCTGAACACGATCACGCTGAACACGATCATGCTGAACATGATCTGAACATGATCACGTTGAACATGATCTGAACAAGATCTGAGCAGTATCACACTGAACACAATCTGAAAACGATCTGAAAACGATCACGCTGAACATGATCTGAACACAATCACGCTGGACACGATCACACTGAACACGATCTGAACGTGATCACGCTGAACACAATCTGAACACGATCACACTGTACACGATCTGAAAACGATCACACTGAAGACGATCTGAACATGATCACGCTGAACACAATCATGCTGAACGCGATC